AAACACATCAAATTTTTAACATAAAAAGATACTGAACGAAAAGGGATTTATATAATACTAGGATAGCACTGGACATTTAAAAAATATAAAGGGGATGGATTAATTAAATGGTTCATTGGCCTTTCTTTTAGTTGTAAATTCTTTATATTGTTTCTTTATTGAATCTTAATACATTGTTCCAAGACTTTTGTTTCATTACATCTCACCATTAAATCTTTTTAACAATTGCCACCATTTTTTATGGCTTCGGTACACTAGCATACAATAAATATTATTAGTTTTATCATCAATATTATTATTTTGTTTTTTTTATACCTCAACATTTTATGACAATATATATATATATATATATATATATATATATATTAGATAGATACAGAATATCATTATTATGAAAGACTGTTGTCAATGCTTTTTGGAATACAGGAGTGGGTGCTGAAAAAAGCTTTTCAGGCTTAATCAAGATGAGATTCCAAAATAAACTTTGATATTTAGTCATGTGATCAAATTCTTGGAAGTTAGGCTGAGAACTTTTCAGCATCCACTTGTATTTTCTCAGTTATTCGATAAAAGTTTTGAACATGAAAGTAAAACTACAGTTGCCTGTTATGCATTAAATTAATGACAAAGTCATATATATATATATATATATATATATATATATATATATATATTCATTCAAACTTGGCTCTCTAGTCATTGGTTACATTCACTTATATGAAAATACCCTTGGGTTAAAGGTATGAATCCATCTCTTCCCCCACCCAAGCTATGGGTAAATAGCAAGACAGACTGGACCTGTTAGCCTTGGTTGGCAACCAGTCTAGGAGAAGAACAACTCTTAATCCAAACCAGCTCGGAGAAGGTTGGCAAAGGGCTTCTTATTGAAGCTAATTCCCCAGCATTCAGCTGGGAGATGGATCTACTATCCAAAAAAGAAAATGTTTGCAATTATAGCATCATCTGATACACTGTACCCATACAGAAGATGGTACTATGATGGGGCGAGTGATCATTGCAGGGCATAGGAAAATGACAAATTTAAGACAATTCCTTTGGGCAGGTTGTTCAGTAAAAATTTAAGAATTTACTGAAACCTCATCTGTCATTTCAATGGGAGAATCCTTCAATAAATATATATATATATATATATATATGTCCTTACATTTTTTTTTTTTTTTTTTACAGAAGCACTAAGAATGTGTAGAAACTGTTTGTAGTAATTACTGCATCAACAAAGTATTTCATTATGAAATTACTACTAATCCAGTGCATCAGAGGATAGAATACAAATACAAAAATATACTAACAATGAAAATTAGCTATCACCAATTTGAAAATAGCAAAAGATCTAGCAAAAATTATTCAGGACAGCAATCACTATGGACAGGTTCTACACTCTTAGCTGTCAAAAGAAAATCTAAGGAGACTAGAAAAACTGAATTTGTTGTTCTTATCCATCACATTCAATTAAACATTTGGACACATCGACGTGGTTAGCAAGCCTGTCTCTTGAAATCAATTACAGCTGAATAGTGAGTTCGATCTTCACTGGGTGCCCAATACATTTGGCCTTGTGCCATATCTAAGCTATGCTAAGAAAATCATTCTGGGCCTTTGATGTGGTGTAATGGTTAGTTCATTTTTCCTGTCTCTTAAAATCAATTACAACTGAATAGTGAGTTCGATATGAGGGGGAAAATGTATGACAAAGTGACAAAAAAGTTTTCATGAGACACATTTTGTCATTTTGGACTTCACTGAACTAAATTTCTTACATTTGTGCACAAATGGAGAATGGTGAGAATTTTTAATTTTTATTTATTCTATATATATATATATATATATATATATAAAAGTTATATGGATATGAGTTTGTGATCCTGGGTTCGATGCTTTTTGATCATCAGACAAAATGATGCTTGTTTGACTAGTCAAGCATAAATGGATCCAGTTTTAAAAATAAACCATATTTATCTGATGATTTGTGTGTGTGTGTGTGTGTGTGTGTGGGTTACAAACTAATATTCATACAATAGGAAGGAACTATCACTGATATTGATAATTTCCCTTAGTAACACACATATATATATATATATATATATATATATATATATATATATATATATATAAATAATAATTTTTATTTAAAAATATGATTCCAAAATATGCCATAAGAAGTCTCATTTTCAAAACAAAAACAAAAACTTCAATATAATTATTTAAATTAAATTGAGTTAAAATAAGCTCTGTTCCATCTTCAAAAAAATTTAATTTTTTTTGGTGGAATAGAAACAAGTGTGAGATTTATGTTTGAAATAAAATAGAAGATCTTCAACAGACTTTTATATAAAACTTTCGCTTGAAGATGGAACAGAGCTTATTTAACTCAATTTAATTTAAATAATTATATTGAAGTTTTTATTTTTGTTTTGAAAAATGAGACTTCTTATGTAGCGTTTTGGAATCATATTTTTAAATAAATAATTATATTTATGCTCTACTTTTGTATCGAATAGCACTATTTTTTTAAAAAAATAACTAAAATACTAAGGGACTTTGGATTATTTACCTAACCAGTTCCTTCCTATTTTCTATATATTTTTTTACACATATATATATATATATATATATATATATATATATATATAATCCAGCTGATTTCATTTAGATTCTTTTTTTTTTTCCATTACTTTTGCTATTAGATATCCCATATTGTGATAACAGAAGTTCTGCCAGGAATGGTGAAATATGGTAAGAGCCAGGTTACAACATTTCACCATTCCTAGCAGATCTGTTATCACACTGTGGGATATCTGATAACAAAAGTGATGGAAAAAAAAAGAATCTAAATCAACCATTTATTATATATATATATATATATATATATATATATAAAATTAAATTTCCAGCATCTCTCAGTCGTGCACATGTATATTCGCACCAACATAACAAAGTTAGTCTAAGGAAGTCCTAAAAGATGAAACACATCACCTAAAAACATCTTCATATATTTTCCACCAATATTGTGCTTGATATATAAAAATTTATATATCGTTATTTCATATAAGATAATGATATATAAATTTTTATATATCAGTCTGTTACTCCTCTCTCTATAGCTTTCATACATTTCCCTCTCACAAATGTTTCTCAGAACCACTAAAAAATTTGTTTTTTTATATTTTTAGTTATGTTTTCCGATTTCTTTTTGAATTTGTTTTCTGCTGAATTGGATAGTGATTAAGGATTCCAAAACTAATAAATTATAACCATGGAATATTAGTGTTTGAGCCTTTTATATATATATATATATATATATATATATATATATATATATATATATATATATATATATATTCTAAAAAAGTAATGGATTTTTGTATTAATCTGACAAATTTTTATTAATTTAAACATCATTTTTAATTGACTCACATTTGAGTAGACACTCCATTTATTTAATAAACAGTAGATTTATTTTCGTTTACCAGCTTGAATATTTGAAAATTTTTTATACTGGAATATTTTTCTTTAATAAGATTTCTTGATTATTTAGGTTGGTAGACAAAAATAAATAAATATACTGCTCAACAAATAAACAGACTGTCTACCCAAATATGGGAACCCACTAAAAAGAGTATTTTTGTTTTAATGTTTGTAAAATTTACCAAAGTTTGTCTTTAGATGTTTTGTTTTCTCTTTCTATGAGAGAACATTGGAATTTTGCTGTGTTAGCACCCTCGTTCACTGCAGGGTTTATATAATTTACACACGCACACATATATATATATATGTGTGTGTGTGGTGTATTTTGGCAACAAGAATTCTTTTAAACATGTTTACTTGAATGATAAAAGGAAAATTTTCAAAAGTTTACCCTGGGATGTTTGATTACAAGGACAAAATTTGGCAAATTTCTCAATTATTATTCAACCAACTTGTTTGAAAGAACTCTTCCTGTTGAAATACACCATATATATATATATATTATAAATTTACTTATTTAAAAATATGGTTCCATCGTTACACAGGAATTACCATGTTTCAAAAACGGAAGCTAAAAACTTCAAATTCAATTATAGAATTAAATTAAAGTCCCTTGTTCTGTTTCATTTCCAAGCAAATTTTGAAATAACTTATTTTGAAATATACTGAGTTTTATAAACAGATACATTCATAATATTTGTTTCTATGGCTATGAGGAAGACCAATCATTTTAACAAGGGGCGGTAGGGTATTCTTTTTCACTGACAACTATTGTATCAACATATTAGTTACTTTCAACAGAACTAGGGACTTTAATTTAATTCTATAATTGAATTTGAAGTTTTTACCTTTTTTTTTTTGAAACATGGTAATTCCTGTGTAGCGATGGAACCATATTTTTAAATAAGTAAATTTATAATATTTATGCTTTGTATATTTGCATTGAGCACTGTTTTGTAAAAATAGAAATATTAATAAGAACACCGGATTATATATCTTACTGTTCTTTCTCTTCATTATATATATATATATATATATATATATATATATATATACACACACACAAACACACACTGGAATCTCCCTTTGCTTGTGATATGAGGGTCCAGCAGCTCAGTTCTTAGAACCAAACAGCCAGACTATCTGCACATATTTCCAGAAGAACCAAATACAAAGAACTGGTACATATAGTGTGCCACAAGGTCTCCAAACAGCCCTCCAGATTTTGAATTTGTTATTCAGAGTTGTCTTTCTCCTAGACTGGCTGCCAACCAAGGCTATATGGCCCAGTCTGTCCTGCCATTTACCCACAGCTGGAGGGGAGAAGAGAGGGATTCATATCTTTCCCAAGGGTATTTGCGCATAAGTTCTTGCACGGAAATCTGACCAAAATGACCTAACCATGAGAATGTGTTTTCGAAATCCTTCCTGACTTCAGCCAATAACTTTTTTTTTTTAGCAACCCCCTGCATGTCAAAACAAAGTGTAAGGTGAAAGGTCAGTAAATGGCGCACCTGTGAACTAAAGCTGGCTGGGCTGATTCCTCCGCCAATTGAAGTGCGGTTGGCATTGGCATTTGAGACAGGGTTTACAACACTGGGGATGCTGCCAGGGTTAATGGGAGCAATGGTGGCTGAAAGGATAAACAGCAAACAATAAGCGAATCAACGAAAAGAGAAAAAAAAAAAGAAAGAAAAGAAAAAAAAGAGCAAAAAAGACATTATTTAACACCCCCACCCACCCACCAACAATCCTCTATGCACACTCACACACAGAAATGGCAATTAACTTGACAAATATTTCTAGGGCTTTTAAATACACTCTTCTTAGGTGTTTGCATCATCAAGCAGGTATTCTCAAACATTTTTTGATCACATTTGATCAGTAACCCTTTTTGTTACCCTTTGTTCTAAGTACAACAGACACTAAGACTACAACTGTTTAGTCTTTAGTTACAATAAAAATACATCTGATTAGTCTTTAGTTCTAATAAGAGCAGTAGGTAATAAGAATATATATGATGTCTTTAGCCATTATAAGATTAAATATGATTGGTCTTTAGTCATAATAAAACTACATATCATTAGTCTTTAGTAAGTAATAAGAATACATATGATTAGTCTTTAGCCATTATAAAATTAAATATGATTGGTCTTTAGTCATAATAAAACTATATATGATTAGTCTTGCATGTACTATTTAGAACTTAATTGTTTTGTGATAAATATTTTTTTGCTTTTATGACTCTCGCTATCAATCTTATCAATATTTGAGGTTTTTTTTTTTTTTACCTACATTTATATATGTTATAAATTAAACTAAACACAACCAACTATTAAAGGTTGAAAAATTATCATGGATTTTGATGTCATTCTAGGGAAGGGGGGGGTAATATATATAAAATATCATAAAGAAGTAATTATACAAAGAATTAATTTTAATGGGATTAATGGTGAAATTACTTCACTAACAAGACTTAATGACCTTACTATCAATTCATTGAACAACACAATCCTTATATTTGAATTATTGTCAGATGTAATTGATGATCCTGGGATGAGTACTTTCGACAATTTCAAATTGTCATCTTCAGGGTCTAATGCTTCCATTTACAGGTAAACACCAAGACAAATGTAGACTGAAAAATGTTTTTAAAAATATGCTATTCCTTGATAGTTATATTATTTTGAATAATATGAATTTATGAATGTGTGTAATTTGTAAACAGTGACTATTACTGCTGATAATACAAGACTCTCCCAATGGATTGAGTTCTCTGGGTCACTGGCGTGTTTATGAAAAAATAGATATGCAAAAATTTTTTTTTCTCTCTGCCAGGCGCCCGAAAGCTTAAATTTAGAATCTCCAACTAAAGTCAAATCGGTTGGGTTTCGGTTCCGGCTTAAAGTGATCAGATGTCTAGTCATACTGAGGAGCTGTGATACAATATTTGAAGTCTGTCTGAATAAATTTGAATATATATATATATATATATATATATATATATATATATATATATATATATATATATATAGTATGCTGGTACATACTATAAGCATTGCTTTATGACCCTCACTATTTGGTCAACATTTGCTTTCTTTTTACCTATCTTTATATACATTACAAATTAAATTAACCAGAAATTACTATTATTAAAAGATGAAAGATTTTTGTGGATTTTGATGTCATTCTCGGGGGAGGGGGTGACCAAATCCGTGAATTTGTTTTGCTCATGGTAAGTGTCGAAAACAGCATTACATAAAATTCACTATTTTTTTTATCCATAATGCTGAATGTGTTAAAATTATTCAACTTTTTAACAAGAAAAATCTCAAGTCGATGTTAAAAATTGCTTTTATTTAAGATGGAATGATCTATTATGACATGTCTCTAATTTATATTTAGATACATTGTATTTATTTTCAATTTTTCTAATTGAATTGTTTACCTATATTGCATATGATCCATTATTGTACATAATTAGGTCATAATAAAATTTGTATTTTATATGAATAATACTAAGTTAAGGAAACTGATATGTAGTAGAGTGGTGGGGGGAAATCCCAAATTATAGATTTCGGGAGAGTTCTGTACCAGCCTTGCTTCACAGTAACTATAAGGTTGAGTCATTAGTTTTCAGGAATCAATTGTAATGATGATTATATCATCCCAACTAACCCTTCCTTAAATATATAACAGGTGATGAAAAATAGGTCCCATACAACAATGTTTAACTCAAAAGGGAGTGGATCTCAAAAGCTGAGCTCCATAGAAGAAAGGTAATGTTCTACATGTGGTGGGATTGTCATGGTATTATTCATTTAGAGTTCTTAGACTGCAAGAGACACTAAATGCACATTTTTACATCCAGCAGTTGCAACTTGTCCATAAATTTTTGGTTGAAAATTGCCCTGCACTCATCAATGGGAAAATGCTGTTCTCTTTTTTGACAACACAAGGCTGCATACAGTCAAAATAACTTCGGGAAAATTTTTGGAACTGGGTTAATCTGTTCTACCCTACCCACCATATTCACCTGAGCTTACTTTAACCAATCATTACCCTTGTCAATTGATGCAAAATGCCTTGATTGGGAAAACCTCCTCTAATGAAAACCAAATTCAATAATTTGTCAAAAACATTTTCATACCAAAACCTGCAAGATATTATGTAAAATGTATATAAGAGTCATTGCAAATAAGGATAGATATTCTATTCAGATCAGCGCGACCGTCTTGGTTGTTATAATGTTTCGGCTGTTTCAGCCTTCTTCAGGTATTTGTCTACATACTCAGTCATTTTATCAGAATTTTGAACCTAACACTTTATTCAGTCACCAGGGATAGATTGTTCTCATTACACTTTCCATGATAAGGAGATATCTTGTATTAGTGAAACTCTCAAAAAGACAGATGACCTTGTGGATCAAAGCAGTTGTAAGTTCAATTCCAAGGTCAGATGGTGTAGAAAAGAGTAATGAACAAATGAATAAACAGCACAAATGTGAAAAGAGAGAATTAAAACTAGAAGCAGGAGAGGGCCATGAGCAGAAATTTGCAGGAGGCAGTTAAGAATTTCAAGTTAGTTTATTAATGGGTCATTCAATTTTTTTAAAACCAAGAATTGTCCAAAGAAAATTTCTTGCTTTGCTTATTGTTATGGTCGAGGTTAGGACCAAGGAAGAACAACACGAACACAAGAGTAGAAATAACGAAGGTATATTACACAAAATAATAATACAAGATATGGAAGATGTTAGTATGACTGTCAGTCTGGTTTGGAGTGAACTACTATCGGCTCGACTCGATTCGACCCTCTCTCTTGAGAGGCGTAGTATACATAGTGTTAGGAAGAGTTCATTCTGTAATTATAGGTAAGGACCCATGACACTTATTAACGCAAAAATTAGTTCTTACAATTAGATCCCAATATTTTGTCCCTCGTTTATCTCACAAGATAATGGTAGCGCCCTATTTGGTCAAAATTCAGTCCTTCTCCAGGCCATGGTGATGGTATATAAAGGCAGTGTGTTGCCCATACCACATGTATCACTTCCTCTCTCAGCTACACCAACAAGATCCAAAGGAATATAGAATTTAGAATACATTTAGAGCAGTGATTTCCCAACCTATTTTTGGCCATGCCCCCAATCTCTAAAATCTTGTGGCATATAATTCTTATTATTCAAAAATAGAGTTGATCAGCTTGGCAATTTATGTTTTTGTATCAGTTTCCAGTTTTTTTTCCTTGATACTGCAGTTTTCGATTTGGTTTTTAATTCAGTATTTTTGCTTTCTAAGGAAGCCATTCATTTTCTTGTGTAATGATAGCATTTCCACTTGATATCTGATTTTATTTGAGAGTGATAAATTTGCAACTTAGTCCGTTCAACTCGCAATTTCTTATGTATTTCTTGTCCAATCTTAAAAGTATTCATATGGCTGGAAAGAAAATAAAATAATCTTTCTAAATATGTAATTTGTATGTGTTTTTATTCATTGAATTATTTTTTTACAGTGAGTTAAAACGATATTTTGCTTTGAACAGCCGAAAATGCGAGATATATTTTTCTGAGACTAAATTTTTACACATTACTTTGTTTCACAAAATCAAAGTGACCAATCTTTATCAATAGTCTTGAAATTGTACACTCAATTAGAAGACACCTTAAACCACAACCAGAAAAATGTTCATTTTTTTCTCTGACCTGAGGATTCCAGTGCAATTCTTTCAAATATTATAAAATAAGCAAAAAAAAGAAAAAAAGCAACAGAATAAATGTGTTTTAAAAGAACTTTCAAATTATTGAAATTACTGTGACACTGACTAATGGCTAAAAAGAATAATTTTTACTTTGGTTTAAAAAAAAAAAAAAAGACTTGCAGTTTTGAAAATGTATATTTAAAAACTGAGGTGATTAAAATTTACTTTACTTTTTTAATATCTAATTTTAGGTGTATTAACTAGATAGAAACAATTTTATTTGTAGAAAACAATAATAATTTGCATATCTGGAAATATACAGATTTTAAAAGTGAAATTAAGAACAATTTTAATTATTCTTAATATCTAATTTAAGTGTATTCCCTAGATAAAAAACAAATTTATAAAAAAAAAAAAAAATCTTCATTCATTTTTCTTGTTTACAACAATTTTATTTTGTGATTGGCGTAATTGGCTTACAAAACTTATAAAAAATCTGACTTCATAAAATTTAACATTAAGATGAACCTGGCAACTATTTTTTAATTTTTACTTATTATTTTTATCTTGTTATTTTTTTATTCTTAATTTTACCAAAAAAAGTTTTTGGTGGTGGTGGGGGGAATGAAACAAATAGATTTCAGACATCATTGTTGTATTTCATTTTTTTCTTCATTTCTTCTGTAGACAAATAGATTTCACATTTATTTCCTAAAACTAGTCAATTAAATGTTTGTAACATATTTTTGTTCAATCTTTTTTCTCTTACAATGGTATATAAATATTGAGCAAAATTTAATTTTTATTAACATGTGAAAGTTTTTTTCAATAGTGTTTCTTTGGATGCGGTCACTTAGTGATAGCACTAAACTGAATGATATCGGTTTTGTAAGAAATTTCGATGCAGTTTCATAGTGTGAAGATGAAACC